TGAATACTTTGTACTTTGCCATAAATATGGTGAATCTACACATTCCAGCAACTCCAAAAAGTGCAGCACCCCAAACAGTAAAAGAAAATAGACTAGGTTCATCATAGAAACCCCTTAATAAAACATTAATAAATAGATGATTTGCTTTGTTTCTGAGATGATTGTTGCCTGTTGACTAAGACATGCAAATAAAAGTATAAACTAAAGCAAACTACTAAAAAAATAATAGTATATAAATGGTAAACCTTTAGGCCGGGTGAACTCCATTTGGATTCAGGCTTCTTTGTGGAGGGACCCAGGTGGCCTCTGACAGAGCCACCTGCGTGTGATTAAGAGGTAAAGGTGTATGGGCCTAGAGTCATATGGGATCAGTGGGGAGTGTCGGTGTTGGCCAAAGATCAAAAAGACGCCCCTTCACAATTTTCAAAGTAAAGGTAACAGTGAAGGAAAAGTGTCAACACTGCAAAAACAGTGTGCACTAAATAATTATGTGGTGAGCTTGCTGTTTTCCTTGATGACATTTTTTAATGTGACAACATTTGACAGCCTGTCTGCTTTGATTTGACTGACTATTTTATACTGTTTGTTTTATTTTGAAAATAATTTTTACACCAACTGTTATTCTGGCTCTACAGCTTCCTAGTGGAATATTTTGGTTTACTTTAAAAGTTACATATGAACGCCTGCAGAGGTCGTTGTTCAGTCATTTTCAAGCTGCAATACTCATCGTGGATACCCATGCAGCCATCACAAGAACCCAACAGTATACCCCATCACACTTACAACCATATCTACATAACTACACATGTAGGCACACCTATTATACAGTTCAACAGCAGAACAAAAAATATGTTGATCATAGAGCTCAATCTCTCTCTAATGCACATTATTACCTTCATGAAGGGAGGATTTATTGCAACACTGTTGTATTAGTTTTAACTAGGCGTACCTAATAATCTGCCACCATGCTGAAATACTAGGTTTAAACTACAGTATAAATAGTAAGTCATTTACCTGGACATCATGGCGAAAATATAATAGACTGTTAATTTATAGATTTTTAAACAATTTACCAATCTAAATAATTTATTTCACTGATTTAATTTTCTAATTTATTTATGTATTTAAACAGTATGTGCTGTCACTTGGCTGAACTCCATAGGGAGTGGCTGACATAGGATCAGTTAACAGATCATAGACCTGCAAGAAGCTGCATATTCCATCTATACTAGATGGATCTGCTGATGACTGTGGTAACACTCACTGCCTGCTGCACAACAGCTCACATGCTGGTTGGCTGCGCCTGTGTCTACAGAGGGTGCAGCTGGATGGACTAGGGCTCAGAGCCCTGACTGCTGCACTCTTCACCCCCACGCATGTACATTAACAACAGAGTCACAGTGGCAAATGTGGTTGCATTCACTGGAAATGCACAGAGCAAAGTGGACATGAGTTCACATGTGAACATCCTCCACCCCTCCTCCTGTAAAAGCTCTGTCTGACGTAGTCCATAATGCTGTTATACTGGCTGACAGCGCCGACCCCATCCACCTGCAGAAGCAACTTGATCACATCCACAGGATAGGTGGAGATCCAAGAGGCAATGCACGACATTCCACCGGCAAACAGCAGCTTAGGGACCATGTACGGGTCTTCTGGCTTGATTGATGGAGTAATGTGGATTTCTTAAACTGAACATTTAGTTTTACATCTATACGAATGTAATATTTGTAACTTGAATAAGTAATAAATACAGAAAGTTATTTAACAATATGATAAGGAGTAGTTTAATTTATTTTAAATTACATTACATTTAGTTACATTTATACTGTTAATCTGGCCCTTTGAGGGCAACTATTATGCTAATGTGGCCCTCGGTGAAAATGAGTTTGACTCCACTGCTGTAGGTCAGCAGCACTGGTGGTGGTCGTTGTTAACACAGGCCTCGACCAATCAGGTATGGAATTCACACTGATGATTCGCATGCTTAAATTTGGCATGTTTTTACACCAGATGCCCTTCCTGACACAACCCTCTCTATTTATCTGGGCTTGGGACTGGCACAGAAGTCACTGCTTGCAACCCCATGTGGCTAGATTTTTCAAAAAAAAGTAATAAACAATTTTTTGAATTGCTCTTCGTCTGGTCCCTCCCCTGAGACCAATTTGCCATGGGAGACCCTATCAGGGGCTAATGCCCCAGACAACACAGCTCCCAGGATCACTGGGACACACAAACCACTCCACTACGTTAAGGTTGCGATTCCAGGAGAGGTTTTTAATTTGGGTGTTACTAAATTATACCAGATCTGTCAGTACGTCTCTGACAGTCCTGTCATGTAATTCAGTAATGGGTCTGGCCGAATTGATTTGTTTTCATTCATCCATCCATCCATTCATTATTTATATAATCATTTTTCCAATAACTATAAAAATAAATAAAACATTGTATATATGGTATATAATATATTAATAATAATATAATTTAATATAATAATATAAAAAATTATTTCTGAATAGGGTATATACAAACACTCACACTCACTCACACTTGGGGCCAATTTAGAGTCGCCAATCAACCTAAGATGCATGTCTTTGGAGTTTGGGAGAAACCGGAGGACCCGGAGAAAACCCATGCAGACACAGGGAGAACATGCAGAAAAGACCCCCCCGGGTTGGCTGGGGCTGTGAGGCAACAGTGCTAACCACTGCACCACTGTGCTGCTTTGATTAATTTGCTTTCTTTACCAAAAACCACAGCATTCTTTGCCAGTTCATCCTGAAAGGCACCAGGGAGAGACTCCTGGTCCTCACATTGTCCATCCTCATGCTGTTCATCAGTGTCATCATGCTCTTCACAGCTGGTGACTTCCTCAGCATTGGGCTTAACTAAGAGCTGCTTATTGAGTAAGACCTGCATGTCAAGCACGGTTCCCAGTGTCTCCAGCATTCCCTCATAGAGCATGACCTTGCGATCAGTTTCTTTCATCATCTCCTCTGCCATCTTTTGACTAAGGCTGTCTTTCTCAGTCCTTAAAGTCTTGATCTGCTTGAGATCTTGCTCCACCCTGTCCGCATGAGCCAGCTTTTCAGTCTCTAGCTCACGCTGAAGGGCGTCTTTGTCCGTCCTCAAGGCCGCGATCAGCTGGAGATCTTTTTCCATCCTGTCAGCATGAGCAAGCTTTTCAGTCTCTAGCTCATGCTGAAGGGTGTCTTTCTCCGCCTTCAGGGTGTCGATCAACTGGAGATCTTGCACCACCCTTTCTGCATGAGTGAGCTTTTTGGTCTCTGAAGGGTGTCTTTCTCCACCTTTAGAGCATCTTTCTCCGCCTTCAGGGCGTTGATCAGCTGGAGGTCATGCTCCACAGTGTCACCGTGAGACTTGTTTTCTGTCTCATGCTCACTGTGAAGACTTTCCACCTGCTGCTTGAGAGCGAGGGTATCCTTTTCATTTTTCAGCTCATGGTGTGAAGCTCTGAGCTTCTCCAGTTCTTCTTGAAGAGCGCTGATCTTGTTCCTCTCCGTATTGAGCTCAATCGTAAACCTGTCCTGGCATATGGCGTATGCCACTTTCAGCTCCTCATAATCTCTCTGAATCTCTTTCTTCTTCTTTCTCTTGATGTCATTGCCCACCTGAGTGGCAATGTTTGAGGCACTGAGAGCTTCAGCGTCACTTCAGAACCAGGCCCCTTTTTGCCTGCACTCACACACCCAACACAACCCTTCATCTTCTTGAGTTAATTCAAGCTAACTGTTACCAAACAGTCAATAGCACTAGTCCAATATCCTAAACAATAACAGTGAGATTGTGCATCCTGCCATGATGCCCATCTCCAGTTGCTGGCAAGTTGTAGTACTCTGCTGTTGTGAAACATATCTGGATATCCTGAAAATAACTGAGATTTTCAAGTATGAAAGATGCAGAAGATTGCTTTATTGGCCAGATGGGTCAGACACACAAGGAATTTGACTCTGGTAATTCAATGTGCATGTGCATATCCCCATGCAAGGGGCAAGTAAACAGTAAACCAACATAAGGCTAGTATAACAAAATAAGCAGTATAAAAAGGCAGTAAACAATGCAGACAGACAAGGAATGCTCATTGTGAAATGAGATAAATAGGAATAAAACAGAGTACTTAAAAATAGAGACTTGTACTGATCTGTATAATCTCTTCCTGAAGTCCACTGTCATCTCCACTGTTCTGAGTGTGTTCAGCTCCCGGTTGTTGCAGCTACACCACAGGACCAGCTGCTCAACCTCCCGTCTGTAGGCTGACTCGTCGCCATCTCGGATGAGACCAATGACCGTTGTATCATCAGCAAAGTGTAGGAGCTTGAGAGAGGGGTCCTTCGAGATACAGTCTTTGGTGTAGAGTGAAAACATCCAACTGGAGAGCACACATCTCTGGGGGGCTTATAAGTAATATATAAATAAATGGTTTATATATGTGACTGTACCATGTTTAGAGGGCCTATAAACTGATGAAAGGGTATTTTATTCTAAAAGTATGGTATAATTTGTTCTTAACTGAACATATTCACACTTACCTTACATTTTGAGGTCATGGGTCAGCTTGAAAACCACTGAACAGGCATTGTATTACTATTAAGGTTGACTTGTGTTGTGTGGAGATTGGTCTCCCTATTCGAGATGTGTGCAAACAGGTTATGTATGTTTCAGTACGCTGCCCTGCTGCATGCCATTCATATCCTGAATGACAAGAGAGCAGCATATCTGGGTTGTCTGCATGAGTAGGTCTGGTCGCATCTAGAGTAGTTTTGTCATGCTTGACAGGTTGGTATCAGTTGCGACAAACTGTAAACAAGAATGATCAAATTATAATATAAGGACAAACATTTTTTTTAAATCAGTGCTCTTGTGTCGCCGCCCAGAGGCTATTCAGAGTTAGAGCCATGGGATAGAGTTCCACAAGTCAAACATCTATATTTTGTTCCTCTCCAATTTCCGTAGGAGTAAAACTTGAAACACTACCGTATTTCCGGAAGTAGAACTTCATTCCAAATATAAAAGTAAGGTTAATAAAATTCTAATTTAAAGAAAAAAAAGAACGACTACTCGGTCACACGTACAGAAAATTATATACAAAAATTTAAGCGACTCATTATATATTTAAAATACAAACATGACACATCTAATGAAATTGATTGATGATTCCACAGCTGTATTTTGAAATTCCTAAGAAATCCTTAGCGTTAGCTTTTAATATTGTAACTTAACAGTAGTGTATCATAAAGTGATTTAACTACTAGATATGGGAGTTCGCAACACTTCCCATTGCTTTTGTATGCGTTAAATACCAGTAATGGAATTTCATTTATTTTAAATTTGTAGCAAATGTAGCGTTAGAATAACTAGTTAGCTAACGTTAGCTTAACATAAAACAACAGATGCGACGCTGGATTGGTATTAAGTTACTTTTTTACCATCTTTCTCACAGCTCCAATTGTGGAAATGTGCCAAAAATTTTGGATATTTGGGGATTATGAAAGGTTGGCCGACATAATTGTCAGTCACGGTAACTTAACTCAAGGGGACCACGGGGAAGCTATGACAATTACCTAACTTTAAACGTGGGCTCGTTCACGCTTTAATAACTAACTCATGCCGAGCCAAACAACGTCCCCGCCGCTGACGGTGACTGTGCTCGCGCTGGGGGTCTTTTTGGGTCGCTGCGCTGTCTCCGAGTCCCCGGAACCAGGATGTGACAGTGGAAAGGTAACATATGTTGTTATGTTTGTTGGTTGGTGTGTGTGTGTGCGCGTCACGCATTGTTTAAGTATACGAGTTATGTTTTGTTATTATATGCATGAATGCACTCAGTAATGTGTCTGCCTGTGTGAGGCAGCTGTCTTTGGATAGGGACCTACCTGCAGATGCCATTTACTGGAACTGTCCGGTGTCTGCCTGGCCAGAGCCTACTCAGGTATGGATACAGCAGACATCATCATCATCATCATCATCATCAGTGTTGCACTTAATCTGTAGAGCCACACTAGCTCAGATGAGTGTGCAACAATAAATTGGGTGCCAGGAATTAATAATAATAGTATAAATAATGATGATGGAAAATATTAATGGTTGTGGTTAGCCCTGTGCATGTGTCACTGCCGGTAATATATCTCTTAAACTACTTCTCGTCTCGCTTGGCATCCAAAATACAGTAAAGTTGCTGGTGTTCAGGTTGTTCTGTTTAATCAATATTTACTCACTTTGCTGTCTACAGAGACTTCCCAGTATTGACACAGTGTATGATCCTGCGGTAAGTAAACATTTACCGAACAGCTGCTATGTTTAACATATTTTCCTCAACCTTTGACTTTGCAAACACTGTACTGTGATTAAAAGCACACCCATATAACGCTCAGACTTAACACATTTGAAGTGAATGCATGAAATAAGCAAAAGTTTCACCCTGTAAGGCGTTTCAGTTTACAGACTATATTTACAGCTTCAGTTTGATTAACTGTTGTAAAGGAGAGTTTGGTAAAGACTGAACTTTGTATTTATCATTGGTGGTTAATAAATGTGTCCTTAGAGGTCACCCGGAAATAAGCAGATAAAATCTAACTGAACCGAATTTCTTTTCACTGCAGCCAGCCAGACAGATCTGTATGGATAAACCCATTTCCTACAACCACACCATTCCCAACAGGTAAGGCTGTGTGGACAGACATAATGCATGTACTCACAAGAGGTGTGGAGAACACAAGTTAGGAAACACTGCCACATGCACACATACTAAATATAGAAACCTGTAGTCACTAAAACCCACAGCATTGACTTTATTGTCCTTTTCTACTTTTGCTTTCTGTTTGTAATACTGCAGTAAAATTACCAACAGATGTAATTGTGTAACTTATATAAGGGTTACTGAGAAAACTAAGTTGTGTGACTATTTATAATAATAATAATTTAGTTTATATAGCACAGTTCATACAATAACGTGCTGTAGAACAACAAATTAGTTTTCCATGTCTTCCTTGGAGAGGAATGGTTGCACATGGGCAGTATTACTGAGATAGTGGTGCAGTGTTTTGCACCTCAGTTTTATCTTTGCTTTGCTGCAGGATATTTTTATGTCATCAATATTTATGCTGTTAATACAGTGAGACAGTTTGTCAATTTGGCTGGTGTAGTCTGATGCAATAAAGATGTACAATTGTGTGTCTTCTGCACAGGTATAAAAATCAATGTCATATTGTCTAATATTACTTCACAAGGGAAGCATATTATAATCTTGTGTCTGTCTGTGTTGCAGTGGAGCATACAGACCAGTAATGGCAGAGAGTGGAGAGTACTTGTTCTGTCCTCCTCAACGGTGGCTCAATAACTTGCATGTAAGTCACAACATCAGACACCTCTTGGTGCTCTCTCTCGTTTTTTTTACCATTTCCTCTTTATCCCTCGTGTTATATAAAATCTACAACTTTACAGCAATTTCACAACACAGTTTGAAAACAACATGGCATTGTTGGCTCTATACTGCAAGTCCACACTATTCTGTGGATTCTCGTTCACAAAAGTCATCATTATTTTTACATTAAATGCCATAGTAGTTTGTTTATTTTGAATAGCAGGGTTTGTAGACTAGTCCATTTGTTGTATACAGTACAGCAGAGACTTGCCCACATTCTCTTCTGTATTATATCCCAAGTCTGTTTTAGCCAGTAATGTACTATATCAAACTTTGGAGTTAAGACACAATGTACTGTTTCCTTGCATAAGTAATACAGGGAAGTCTGCCAGCACTTGCTGTACCTGTTTAGACCCTTGGTAGCAGGTCTGCCACCGGAGAAGGATTTTCTTGAATTTCAGGGATTAAACAAACAGTATTAGCAAGTGAGGGATTGTTGTTAATGGGTCACTGTACACCATAATGTCAGAAGGCTCTGTAATTACCACTCATTTAACACATTGCTTGGCAGCTTTTCTTCTACACAGAGGGAAACCAAACCTTTACCCCTTAAGTGTCTCCTTCAGCTGAAAAAAATTATTAACAGGAAAGGAGGGAATGCAGTATTTAATTGTGTGTTTGTGTTGGTGTGTATTTTCCAGCATGGAGTGCCTGTTTTACTCTACCACCCCTGTGCTCCTCTCCAAGAGCATCTCTCTCTCTCTGTCCTGGCCCGCTCCTGTCTGCCAGACTACATCATTACCTCACATCCACAACTCAGTAAGCATATGGTGAGGCAAACCCCCTCTATTCTGTAACCTATCAAAAGAAGTAAGGCACAGTGGGGTCTCCACAGTTCTGTTACCTTTTAAGGGTGTAATTTTAAAAACTAGGAACTTTGAGGATGTGTATAAAGTAGCAGAAAATGAAAATACTTGAGTAAAGTACAGATACCTCAAGATTGTACTTAAGTACAGTACTTGAGTAAGTGTATTTAGTTACTTTCCACCTCTGGACACAGCTAGTTTATCTTTTTTTATAGTGGCTCAAACAGAAATATGCTCTGACTTATTTGATTAGAAGGTGAGTTTTCAGCGTCTAAAAGAGAATGAGTGGGTGTCCACTTTGTGCTCTGTGTTCAGCCAATAGCCGCGGTATCCTGGGGTCATACTTTGGAGCTGGCCACAGTGGCATCTTTGGACATCTGTGGTTGGCTGGAGACCAAAACAACCACAAGAAAAGAGCCCGGTGGTGTGAGCCAGAGCAGGAAATACAACCTGCTGTTGACTTGGCCAGCGGAGCAACACAGACAGCAACATCCAGAGAAACACTCAACAAAAATTAAGGTTTGTAGTCTTGACTGAAGACTGGGCTGTTCACATGTTGTTAATTATCAGTACTTCTATGTGCACTGCAATGAAAGCAGTATAGATTAGTCATTTCAGTAGCCTTGTAAGTATCTCTAACTAGCTGTTGTTGTAACTCCCCAGGAGTCTCTCAGGCGGTGCTGTGAAGAGACCATCTCTTCTCTCCTGAATGGAGCAATGGAGGCAGAGCTCAGTTCCAGTATGAAAAAGGAAAGCTTAAAAAACACAAAAGGAAAAGGCACAAACAGGCAAATTAGAGCTGCCATCAGAGAAACACAAGAGAATGTTAAGTATGAGAACAAGATAGCCAACACAACACATGCTTCAGGTTTTTTGAGCAACAATACCAATACAGGGCTGGTTCAGAACTTGAGCACGCTTGGACCATCAGCAGATTTGCCGCCAGGGAACAGGGCTCTCTCAGATTCTCCTTCTCAATCCAAGGTCCACAGTTTAAATCAGGCCCTTACACCAAGGACTACAACTTTGCCTGCACTTGGAAGTGGGGCTTCTGAGACCCAGAAAGGCAGGCTAATGCTGCAGAAAGCAGCAGAGCAGCCCAGTCCTAAACATACCAATCCAAGAAACCCTAACCCCTCAGCTGGGGTGTATGCTCTTGCAGCTGCTGTGGACATAGAACATAATGGCACATCCAGGCCCAGAGCCCTGGCCCTTAGTTCCAGAGATGAAGGCTCTGCCAAACAGAAAGAAAAAGACTCCTCTAAACACAACCTGAAAGAGAATGACTCTCAAGAAAGAAACTTGGATAAAGATATCACACCTGATGGCGGGATGAGAAGTAATGCAGTAATAGAAGTAAAACAAAGAGAGGTGGAGCAAAAGCAAACACATAGTAACAACACTGGCTTTGACTCTGTTTCCAAATCCCAATCAGAGTCTCCACCCCAGTCACAACACCACTCAAACTCAAAGCTAGTCCATTACCTGCCTAACACCCATGACTGTGATGGCTGCAAAGCAGGCGAACACTGTGAATGCAGCAAGGACACAGGGGCTGAGACCCGAGCTGCTGCTGTGAAAAATGGGTTGCCAAGGACCCCCAGGTCAGACGAGGCGGTGTGGGCAGCAGCCGCACTGGGCTTCTTGCTGGTTCTCCTGACGCTGTCAGTGCTTCACACCCGCCTGTACCGCCACTGGAGGACCACGCCCAGTTTTTACTGGCATGACCCACGACAGGACTATGACAGCGTGGCAGGTTGGTGACCCACACAGGAATCTGTCCTTTTAACTAGTGGGATCCTGTCAAGTTGGCATGTCATAAATGTGCACCTAAAAAGTCATTTATGCTGCTAATTAACCCAGACAAACAGACTGAACCATATACATAACCTCTTAGGTGGAGGTAACAATGTGCCTTTGTTTTAATTCTTAAGCAGTGAATTACTATTTTTTTGTGTTTGTGTGTGTCTCCTAGATGTGATTCGCAGAAGGTTGAGAATTGCGAAGAAAAGGCGGAAAAGAGGCAGAAGACAGGAGTGTGTTCTCTTGCCAAGCTCCTCCAGCTCAGATGAATGTCTTTAAAAAAAAAGATCGAAAGATCCAAAAGAATGTCAAGTAACAGTTCAAGTCTCATTGCACATAGAGGAGGATGATAAGTGTGTTTCCATATATGTAATGTATTGTACCTACGACAGGGCTGAAGTGAAATAGTTGAAGCTGGAGGTTCAGTGAGATCTTGTATCCAAATTGATTGGAAACAAGTTGACAGAGGACCTGTCCCGTCGGTTGCATTTGGATTGTTTAGATTGTGACTGTCGCTATATCCGTTTCTCTACGTGAAGGAAAGGAGAAAGGAAAACTGCCAATTGACCATCCAAAACAAGAGCACAGGCCTTGTCAATTTTTCTACCTGATGTTTGTTTTTATTATTACTCATTGTCGGTACTGTATTTTTTAGGAGTAGTTTTATATGTGGCTTTTACATGTGAAGGTTTTAGTGTGCTAATAAGTAAGTTGCTGTTCTAAGCGATGTTAGATAAACTTCAGGGAAAGCTTTACAGAAGTGTGTGGAGTACTTTTTGAAATGTTAGATGTTAGGATGTTTTCTCAACACCATAAGCAAATGTCGGCATCCAAATGTTTACTGAATTTACCGTAATTATACATTTTATTGTAACTCAAATTATAGCTGGACCAATACTGGATTTTTTTGGGCTGACACCAATACCGATACGTGTGCCAAAAAATGTAAATGTGAAAACATCTTTGGAAGAATTACTTAAATTTGCCATTCTCTTTATCTTTGGCATTTCTGTCTTGCTTGTTTTTTTACTTACTGTATTGGTTGACATACACAGAACATTTGTAAAGGAAAGACATCAAATTTGGGCAAAGATAACTAGATTAATGGCATGAAATAAAATGGTGCAAGAATTTTTTTCAGATTTCAGTAGGTATTCAGAACCTTTACTGTCATACTAAACTGTAGTCAGGAGCATCCTGTTTACTTGACCTACCCTAGAGATGTGTCTAGAACTTGATTGGAGTTACCTGTGGCAATTTGGACACCTGTGTATACAAGATCCCGCAATTCATACTCTGTGTCAGGGCAAAAACTAAGCCATGAAGTCTGAGGAGCCATCTATAGACCTCTGTGGTGAGACATACTGTAGCTCGGGGAATACAGTAGGTATAAACCATTTCTAATGCTTTGAGTGTTCCCAGGAACACAGTGGCCTCAATTATTGTGAAATGGAAGTTGGGTGAGTTTAAACCACCAGGGCTCCCCCTACAGCTGTCCAGTCAAACTAGGTAAGCAGGGAAGAAGAGAAAGAAGTTCTCTGTAGAAGGACGGCTATCTCAGCAGCACTGCATCAGCCAAGCCTTTATGGAAGACAGAAGACACTTCTGAGTAAAAGGCATATGACAGCCTGCTTAGAGTTCCCAAATGGCATTAAAAGGAGTCAGAGAATGAGGAAAAAGATTCTAGTCTGACTAGACAACAATGGAACTGCACAATTCAAAGCACTATGGCTGATGAACACCATCCTTACAGAGAAGCATGAGGGTGACAGGACAGGGAAGAACGAATGCAGCCAAATAGATGTATCCTTAAAGACGACCTGCAAGACTCCACACACATAAATATAAATAGACCCCAGACAATTAACTTGTTTTATTATTTTATTACAAATGTACAGCTTATGAGTTTCCATTATGATTGACCCTTTTTTAAGTCAGTTTTTTCTACTTTATACAGTTTCTTTTAATGTCTTCTGTTAAAAGATAACTCTCCCATCACACATCTCCCAAACTGTAGTGCTGTGAAGGAACAGACAGAGCAACAGTACAGGCCACAGTGCACCACCAACTGCTGCAAGTGTACTGTATTTGTGTGTACGATTCACTGGTTGCAAATTTAATGTTTGTATTTGTGGAGGACTTGATCCAACTGGTAAATGTGGAAGCCTGTGTTTTTAATGTTGGAAAGCATGTACTGAATTCTGGACATGATGAAGATGTGATGTGAAAGTGTTGGAGATGAACTGACAGAAGCAATTAACATTCACACACGGACTCCTTATGTAGTGTTCACTAATTCGGGGGACACACACGGACTCCTTATGTAGTGTTCACTAATTCGGGGGAGGAATAGGCTGTGTGCGTTTTAGACCATCCTCCCGCCATTTTGAGATGACTGTGGTGCTAAACCAAAGTGTGCTTCAGACTTTTCTTATCCCACATTAAACCCTTGCATCCTGCACCAAATGTACTTGAACTAAGACCTCTAGAAAAGTGCAGTACATAATGTAGATCCTACTTCCTCCAGCTGGTGTTTGAAAATAGTGCAACTAAGACTACACCTCGATCAAATTGTTGCTCCTGTGGATTCTAGTAGAATCAATGTGTACCACATGACCACGCAAGCGGGGGGAAAACCACAGCATAACCATACGCACAAGTCTTAAAACATCTACAAGTACATGTGGTGTCAAGACTAAAGAGCTGAATGAAGATTTGGTGAACTGATCCTGTGGCCTGAAGCCCACTTTGGCCAACAAAAAGACATAATATCTCACAAATATAACCCTAGCTTAATAGAAAATATAGCATGAAAATATATGTCCATATATTTAGTCTAAAACTAGGGCAATCACGATTGAAGGGACAGGCTTTTTCTACTGGCCCCATGTGTGTTTACGTGTATGTGTTGCACGGCGTGGTATGTCACTGTGACTCAGCCAAACAGGAGATGATGATGATGATGTGCAAAGGCAATCAATGTATCAATGAAACATTTCAAGAGTCTTCTGGACATGATTCCTTTCGACAGGGAACAGTGCAAACGACCCAGCCTCCCTCTCCAGACACGTTGTGTACAACTGCGTGAGAGACCGATGAACACCGACAGTCAGACACCCCAAGTGATGATCAGGGGGAAAAGTGAAGAAACATAACATGAATAAATTGAGCAGAGAAGTGCTGACAGTGGTGGAGCATCAACTTCTCAATGTGTTTGGGGCTAATTGCTTCTTATTAAAAAGGCAGCAATATAAAAAGAAACAAATATTTGATGTAACTGTGTTCAAGGGATGAGGTCAGTATTTCATATCAGTAAATTTAATGAGCAGTATTATATATCAATGAATGAACCGCCAGCTATTAAAGCCACAAACGCTTTGAGAAATGAGCTGCAGAAAGGTTAGAGGTGAATCAGAAATAGAAGAGGATGGCCCTCCTGGCAGGCTCGGACAGATTTTTTAAGATTCCATCGGCATCCTTACAGATATGACCATATTTGTCCAGCACAGTACAAGATTTAAACCTACAGTAGGCTAAAAAAAACATCTTTGTTCTCAATGCTATCTCCCACTGGCAGAGTTTAGAGACAGTGAGCTACAAGTGACAAGCTCCGTGGCCCAGATCAGCAGACCAGGACAGAGAATCAATCTATCAAAAAGGAGGCGTGATACGTGGCAAACTAAATCAAGCACACTTGAGGTGGATGAATCAATTTCAAATGAACAAATGCAGTGAGTATCCCTCATCCATACAAGATGCTCCAGGTTGCTAGATGTAGTGCTTCCACAGGTCTACTTAAAGCTTAACTGCAACATACTGGGTATGTCATAGTGTGCTGACACACACGCAAATTATAGCTGCGGTGTAATACAAGTACCCAGGAGCACACCCGCCATGTAAATAACATACTGCTTTAAATCAAGACAGGGGGTTAGTCCTCATACGCAAACTGAACCAAATGGTGTGCCTGATTTTAGTATCCTGCTTGGCATAGCAGAAATGAATATGGGGTTGATTCTGAGATGATTCCACTGGCTCTGTTAAATGAGGCAAATTGTAAGATAAATCAAGCACAAAATGACAGCTGAGGATATGTGAAAAGAGCATTTTGATCCAGGTCCTATCATAATGCACCAAGGGGCTTTTAATCTGACAGAAACTCAAAACCAAAAACAACTCTCCCTCTAAACATTCTCCCCTTTGGCAAACTGTTCAACCGCTTGGCCATAGGATGCATCATAACATGAAAAACTAAAAACAAAAAACTAAACAAAAAAACCTCAACTGTCACCCAGAAATGGAGTGCTTGAGAAATGTTGAGGACCATGTCACAGGTTGTTTATGTGTATGTATGTTTCCTTAAATCCCAGCAAGAAGCTGACCACATACTCCCATCCGTCTCCCTATTCCACTAAATGAGAATCATATTTGAGACAATGAAATAAACATACATAAACAGTTAAATCAAGATGACAGTCAGTAAAAATATCAATACAAAAAATAGGCATGATAAACAATAACAATAAATCAATTATTCCAGTGTAAGTGTTTTGTAAGTCAGTACTGTTTGTCCTTAGAGGTGCAGACCAAACCAATCTGCATATTCAAAAGAAAAAAAAATTAAAACAAAGAAAAAGAGAGAAGAAAGCAATGAAAACATGCCAGATCATGCTGTGTACCACCAACAACAGGGGAGCTGACCCCTGCCAAAGCTAACCCAAGAGGAAGCATGGTGGGGGGTGGAGTGGGTTTGAGCTAGATGGGTCTCAGGGGTCCTTCTCTGCACCACGGGCTCATCCTATTTGAGATGAGATAGGAGACAGAGGGGCCCCATGTCTAGCTGGAGAAAGAGAGGAAGGCAAAGGAGTGGGCCAGAGAGGAAAGGAGACGAGGAATGTCCTGACTCCTCGCAGGTTGGACATGGTGAGCAGTATGTCATGGATGATTTACCTACTTTCCTCTCTCGCAGCATCTGTTTCGTCCCTCCCTGGTTAGCTTAGACAGAGAGGGAGGAATGACAAGTGACAGGTGAGAATAAATAAAGCAGTAACATTTCGGGATCCAGTTCACTGTACATGGCCACCATTGTTTTTCATGTATGCTTTTCACACTTTAAGCAGTTTATTATACACATCTCATTCCAACAGTTTAGTTTGCTTCAAGCTGTAGTTCTCATGTTGGCTTCTTCCACTTGTTCTCCCCTACTTGCACTTCCACATTTGTGGAATTTCTCCTGTTTGCAGTCCTCTGTAGTGTTATTATATAAAAAAAATAATAATAATCAAAGCTTTCATTGGATTCTTTTCCATGCACTTTCCAGACTTCTCTCTAGTTTTTCTTTCTTCACTGTGACCATCATTCTCTCAGCCACTCCCCCTCCCTTGTCCTCCCATCTAAGGTGTGATCAGATCATCCCTCTGTCTTGCCTTCCCCTTTAGCCCACCCATGCGCTGATCTGTCCTCTCTCCTTCTTCTCTGTCCATTCTTCCCGTCATGCATTTGTCAGGTCACTGTTTCTTCTCACGAGTCGTGATGGTGACCAGTTGCTTGGCAGCCTTGGCGATGTCATAGGCGCATTGGATGACCTGCTGAGTGAGGAGTTGGTAGTCCACTGCAGGGGCCCCGGGCTCCAAGGGTGCCGCCTTACGGCATTCCACCTGCAACCGTGAGGCACTGGAAGCCAAAAGGCGGAGAGAGCAATGGACTGCATCCAACGCTGGGCGCTATGGAGAAATGAAGGGAACCAAACTGAACTCACACGGTAGGCAGTGGAGGACATAAACCGACAGGAAGATAAAGAAAGCAACACTGAGACAAAAAAGTGAAGGAGAAAAAAGGGGAGAGAGAAAGGAAGTAGAAGTACAGGAAACTTACTTTAGGGAAGAGTGATGCCATTTCAGTGACTGCCGAGTGGATCTTCTCAGAACATGGCACAAAACTAAGGAAGAGAGAAATGAGTTATTTAACTTGGTAGTCAATAATGACTGTGGCAACAACATTGCTCTTAAATAATCTAAATAATCAGCTGAAATGGTTGAGCACCCTCCGATGGGTGCTTTGACACGTAACATGTTTGGTTCAGTTAAAACCAGGTCTCTAGCGTTGACTGTATAAAAGATGGACACCATGACAGCTCCCAGAAATGAAGCCACTGTGACTCAATCGACGACCTCTGCTGGTTGACGGCAGTATAGGTCCTAAATCCCACCCACTCCATGTTAGTGAACAGGATGAGCCAAAACAAAAACTCACAGTACATATTAAATAAACTTTTCCTAAACATGATGTTTTTTGTATTTAGTAGGTATGATCACCTGGATGTGTGTCCAAGTGGTCATTTTTCTGGTTAGTTTGTTTTAAATAAGGTTTTTGATTATATAAAAAGGGGCTTTGGTGGGTGGTCTGATAAGTCACTCAACCACTTGGTCACTACTGTGCAGAATCTGGTTGCAAAGTGCCGAGAAGGCAGCCGCCGTATTAACGATATTTTGGCTTCACTCTTGCATAGCGGAGGGGAAGTGGTGACACGTTGTCCACAGGGTCAACGTTGCGGTGGGTAGAGCAGTTGTCTCCCAACCAGAAGGTTGAAGGTTCCTGCCTGCAGTCCACATGTCGAAGCGTCCTTGTGCAAGACACTGAAACCCCTAAGTTGCCCGTGATGGTGATGCGTATGCACGCAGCGGCACGGGGCCCTCGGCTCCAAACAAAATTTCGTTGTACGTGTCATAATGTTACAATAAAATAAAGCTTCTTCTTCTTTTATATACAGTCTATTGTCTCTAGTGGTAGTTTAGTTTGGGCTGGTGTGAAAGCTGTCAGTCAAACTCTAGTGTGGACCTAACGACCATGTTGAGACTGCTTGAAATGTAGGGTCTCGCTCTGCTTTGAAGCCAATTCTGTTCTAGTGGTCTGAAAGCAAATGAACCAATCGCATTAAGATGAGTCTTATAAATACTGTATGATGGCTAAACCTACTCTCAAATCTATCTACTAATTGTGAGCTGTTCAGGAAGTGATCCTGCAATATGGCATCTGTATAAGCAATGTATATATTTATGTAAAATCATTTGGTAATCATGGTAACGTATGTTTTTCCATCCACTGTGTGTGCCTTGGCCTGGCAGGGCTGAGCTGTGCTAAGCTGCTCCTGAGTCAGCGTAGCTGTGTTTGCACTGAACTGTAAAACATCAGCATCTTGTATGTGGGCATGGCTCCAGCTGCTGAGAAGCAATGCATAACTCATGGTGTGGTGTCAGCGTCGTGGTGCTAGCTTGCAACATGGCACCCTTGGTGCTAGGCATTAGTTTAGCCCCTCATCAGAAGACCACATAAGAGACTCCATTTTCAAGTCTTGCTGCAATGAAATAATGAATAAAAAGTCAATGCTGAATACAAGGACATTCCCCGGGCACAACATATCAGCCAATCATGTGACTCGATGAGCCGGCTTTGTTGAAAGCAGAGAATGGAAGCAGAGGCAAACCTGTCCCTGACCAGCTCTGCACGATTAAAGCTGGCTGACCCATTGACCCCACAGAAAAACACCTATATGTGAATCAACATCATGTGATGCTGTACTCCTCCCTTATTACTGCTGTAAAAGATGCCTCTTTCTTGTCCTGTCCCTTGTCAGTTTTTAATAAATATATATATAAACACACACAGATAAACATCAGGTTTACTCCTTTTAATTCTTGTGGGGAAAAAAATTGTGTGAATACACGGGACAAGAAGTAAAAGACAACAGTATATGACTGTTTTCATTTGATCTGTAGCAAATTTACCAAACTACAGGTATGAAAGTGTCTAAATGTGGCTGTTCTCTGACACTCACAGTAATGCATTCACCTGGTGCACTTGTTAGTGCTGGTTGGTGTAAAAGTAACAGAACTGGTGATAAAAAAATAAAAAAAAAGAAACAGATGGTTCTGGCACTAGATGTTCCTGACACTCAATGTGTTACCCCATTATGAAGATCAGATTGCACTTGTCTGATGGATATAATTTGCGGTATTTCTTCTACAGCAGACAAAATGTTTTCCATGGCTCTGTTATCTATCTCTGGAGTGTGTGTCCTTCACCTACCTGTCGTGTTTGAACTCCTGAGCAGCCCTGAGCAGCTCCTGGATGTTCTTAGTAACCTGCTCAGTCTTCAGTATAACATCCTCTGTGCAGGGCAGGGTGGGGTCCGGCTCCCCTGCCTCCCCGCCTCCCTCCTCAGACTCGCCACGACCCTCCTCCTCACTGCTGCGGCCCATACTGAAATGGAGAAATGTAAATACACTTTAATTAACAACTTGGACTCAAGCAGAACCGACAGTCACGGACAATATTTATCAGTCTGAGACTTATTTAAATGTTCAGTATTTTAATGCACATACAACATGTACATAAACAAGTTTCTACTTTCATGTCAGAAATCACTGTTTTTTGTGGGTGCATATTTAATTTCAGAATAAAATTCTTAAATACAACATATAACAAAGTATCTGGCAACTGGTGCAAGCAGGAAGTAAAACTATTTCCAGAAAACTAAAGATGCATATTAAAAACACACACATGCTTGTGCGTACAGTGATCTGCAGTGAATCTGACCTTAGCGAGACATCATATGTTTGTGTATTGTCATAGTCGCTATCCGTGCCACTGCCGTGTTTCTCTGGTTTAGGGACCTGAGGGATGGAAACACATCATCATATGCCATCATTGCCATTATCACGCATCACACCAAACCTCCTGTGCTGTTCCGGTGCACAGAGCCTAATGGATGCCACCTGCCACAAAGATCAAGCATTTATTCCCATTTGAATGTTATGTGATGATTTCAACAAGACGTCCCTAGAAAGTTGCTTAAATCAGCTCTTTTGAATCTTTTAAATAAACTTTTATTCAGAAAAATGCTAATTATATGGGGATGTTTACAATTGCAGCCACATTTGAAGATTCTTTATCTTTGGTTTTTGAACATCTGGACCAGACTTTTATCGCAGGCTGTGAGAAATTTTCTGTAGTAAAATTGCAGGATCAGGGTATCTATTACAAACCTTTGCAAGCCTATAATCTCAGCTTCCTAAATGGACTGAATGCAGGATCACGAAGGTCAGAAAATCTGTCTAGGAAAAACAAAGTAAGAACTCACCATGTATCTGCCCATCTCTGTAGACCCAGACAAATGCTGACCTCCATATGGAGTGGAACCTCCTGTGCTACCTTTCCTTACCTGCAAAGAGAGGAGCAGAAAAGGAGGTAGAGAGAAACAGAGATGGAGAAGGAAATGAAAGATTAGCAGAAAGAGATGGATTAAAAAAAGGAATGTGGAGACAGAGAGAAGAGATGTTTTTATAAACAGCAGAAAAACAAGATGGAGGAGCCAAGTGAGAGCAGCGCCAGATCAACTTGGCAGCTCACCCATCATCCCATCATGACCACATGCCTCTAGAGTTATCTAACACTGAAATGCAAACAGTTTTAACTAAACTAACCGCTGAATAACAGCTACACATCACACAGAGCATCTAAAAATGACTACACACATACCGTAAAACTAATGTTGATCTCCAGTATTAGAATGCATAATAAGCATAAGTGATGCACAGTGTGACAGAATCCTACATTTGAAGATGAAATGGCAAACAATGCAATGACAGACAGAATGCTTACATCCAGAGGATGCACGGCTGCACTGCAGTGAGCAAGGGACAGACAGGTGAGAAGACAGACAGACAGACAGAAAGAAAACAGACAAACAGGTAAATCTTTGTGTAAAAAGATGGTGAACTGGACACCGACTTAACGTCCATAAATGTTGACAGTGTGGTTTGGCTGTGTTTGCATATTGTAGTCTCACATATGCTGCAGGCTAAATGCTGTTGAGTGCTGTAACTTGTCACCTAGTTGTCTGTTATTAGCCACTTTACTAATAAAAATAAACCAATGTTTGGAGATATTTCCATTTTTCAGACTGTAGCCCCAACAAAATTTTGCTTCTTTGTGTGTGTGAAATTGTGCATGTGTGTGATGCTAGCAAATAAGCAGCAGTTGAGCAGCAGAGCACTACCTGAGAGGTCAAAAATGGTTGAAAATTTAAAGGCCAAAGGGTGCAGAGCAGGCAAGAGAGCGGCGCATCAGAGGCTTCCAGGCAACCGAACAAACAAGACAGTCCCTTTTCCCCCCATCTTTCTCCTTCAGGTCACACTTGTGCACTTCCCTCTCTATGGTGCTAAAAATCATAGATTGGGGCCTTATTATTCATGGACAGTGCTACACTTGCCAAATTTAAATGGCATTGTGCACAACTGGACCTTTCAAAGAGAAAGACTAGGAACTGAGATGCAGGGAGAGAGTTGGAGTGAAAATAGAAAGATGAGGATTGGACTGTCACCAAAGAAAGCCAATCAGGGCCACCAAAAGGAAAGTGGGAAGTAGAAGTGGCCAGGGGAGCTCTAACTTACGCTGGGTGTGTTGAGGGGCTGCAGGCGGGCTGCCAGGGAGTCCAGGGCTGGGGGTCCATGGGCCGTGGGGCCGGGGGCTGCCCCTGGCTCGTACATTGAAAAGGCCTGGCGATTCCTTCGGTGGAGATGGGAGTCGGAGGCACCCGAGGAGGGCACCGAGAGCCCAGGAGGATCCGCTACTGGCCCAAACCCAATCAGACTCCCTCCACCCATTACACCTCGTATCACACACCCTTGCCAGTAGCCTCCTCCTCCTCCTCCTCCACCAGGACCCCCTACCCCATGGCTGGCTGACCCCCCAGCCTGCTGGCCTCCCCGCAGTGCACTGTTCTCTGTCTGCATCCGCGTGATCTACAGGAGAGGAGGAAGGGAGCCGGGAGGGATGAAAGGATGGAGGGAGGGACATGGGGAGAGTGAAGGGAAGGGAGGGGTATCAACTGAATGGTCAAAGACAAGCATCCATTATTACAAGTACAGTAAAAAAATCCATACAGGGCTTCATGTATTAACTCACGAGCACTGGGTTGGGAGGGAATGTGTGGTAAAAACACTTCAACAGGTTACATGCTGAGGTACGGATTAAGTCTTGGGGAAAGGCTGGAAGGCTATATAATTGCATATATATGTGGCTTGCTTTACAGGGGTCAGTGAGGGGAAGTGTGGGTTCACCTGTACTCATGTACTATGGACTAATTTAATGCCATAGCATTCTTTTCACAGTGTTTTTGCTCAAGTGTTTCCATGTTCAAATGCATGTTTGTCCCAACTCTTCCCTAAATTCTTGGTGAAGAGACAACAAGAACTCATGAATGAATCAACAGTAACATAAAGCAGACACAGGCAGCCACTAATGGATACACCGAGTTAATAATGATGGCTCACAAGAAACCCAGTGAAGCGACTATAAACAACAAATGAGCGCTATCAAAATGAACTAAAAATGACAGCTAAAATGAGAACGGGTATTTGTAGCACCCTCGCTCCACATGACATGTGACATGACAGCTGCTTTAGTTTCTAGATAACACTGAAAAGCTGTCAGTAAATTCAACAGTGTGGGAGAATGACACCCTGTCAGGAAAAATACATCAGCTTGCCAAGATATTAAAATATTCATTTGTCTCTCCATCATCTTGTCCTCTTTCTGTCTGAATCAATACTTCCTTCTCAATTTGCTAACACGGCTTTGTCACTTGGCCTTATGTGTTCTGCAATACACCCTTGCCATCTAGGCATTATCCCCATCAGAATTTCTTTTCCAATGTCCCCATTTTAGGTCCTTTTGTTCACCTTTCTGAGAAAGAATTCATGCGGACCTTTCTTGCATCATCTCTCTTCCTTATCTTGTTACTCTTGTCCATTATTAAACAAGACAAAATTAAATAAAATATCTTAACTTCCACTTTCTGCTTTCTATCCTGCTCCACATTTCTCAACATTTCTGTTGTGCTTCAACTGTATCAGACCAGCCCCTCAGTTCTCCATACCTCCTTTTGGAGCCGTCGGAGCTCCTCGCTCAGGTTGTTGTTGACCTTCATCAGCTGCTGCACCTTGGCTTCTGAGGAGGCCAGGGCCTTCTTCACCTCCAGGTACTCCTGCAGGGTGATGGGGCCATCGGACAGGTCTGATGAGTCCATACTCTGGATTGACAGGACACACAGGCACGTGGACAAATGGGTTACAAAAAAAAAGAGACAGAAACAAAGACAGAGGGAAAGTAAAGAAATTGACATCATGGTAGTTATCAAGGTTTGGCTGGACCACAAACCCAATTTCTCCAGTGTTTTTCTTGTCCATACTATATAATGTATGCAGTTTTTAAGAAGAGTTAATATGGGGATATGCGATATGAAGACGCCTTTTCAGCTGGGTAAAATAAAAACAGAGCTTACTTCTGTACCAGAGGACGAGGGCTGGGCTACAGCCTGCAGGGTAGCACTACAGCTGATCCCACACACATATAAACAGTAGAGCCTTAGTTCTTGCTCTCAATGCACTATCCACCCCCACTTCCTGTGACCAGGGAGCATTCTTGAACTCAGTCTCGCACCACTCCCTAAAATGGATCTATTAAAACTTTCGCTCATACATGACTCTTCAAAGCTTTTTGTTTATAAGTCATCCACCTACATTATCACTCAAATTCTACCATCTGTCCAAATTCCCCAAGTTCATAATATGATACACAAAGTACAACTGAATGCCATGTGATACCATAGCACTGTTCAATCTTATCTGCACAACAAAGTGATAAATGCACATATTTCAAGTGTGGAGATGAGAGTTGAACATCTGACTTATGGTTCTGCCCACTGGGCTAAACAAGTCCACAGAAAAAGCAGATAGCTACTAGTTTAGTGGCCATTTACCTTGTCATTTCTACCACTGTCACATCTGCACCATTTTCCCACTCTTTCTTTGTCTCCTCTTGCCTCCATCAACACACACAGGCATACTGTATGAACAATTCATCTCTGACAAGGACCCAAAATAGCTGATGATATCACTCAGGAGCAATGTGGCAGCCCTGACTGTGACCACTCCCCGCAAAGCATACTGGGACAAGCAGTCTTAAAAAGGAAACAGTGGAAAAGATTTATTATCTAATCTTTCAGAGGCTAAGCAAGAGGAATAGGACTGAATTGTTCAAGAACACTTAAAACCTACTACTGTGTCAACATGTGCAGAGCTGTGCATCTGTAGATTTTACCCTGAAAAAGTATTGCATTTTTCGGTTGTTAGCTGTGCAATATATATATGCATGTGGTATGCATGTAAACTGGTTTTTCAAGTACTATACCTTTGCACGGTTGCTGCGTTGTGTGTTGTTGTTGTTCTGTGCAGTCAGCTCACTGTCTGTATCTTCATCAGAAGCTACACTGTCATAGTCATGCTGGTCATCATCAATGCTCAGATCCAATGGGTCTGGCAAAGGGAAGAATGTGTTCATTTATTACAGTTCTTTCAGTTATGGTGTCTATTAGCCTTTTTCTTTCTCTTCATCTTTTCTCTGGAATCCTCAAACTGATGAGACTACCAACTGATTTTGTCTAGCCTCGTTTCCAACTTATTTTAACAGGGTTGTCCATTTTAGTTTCACATAAGAACCAGCTGTTTGATGCAGACAATGTCAGACAAATTTTTATACAGATAAAAATATACTGAAATCATCTGATACGAACTAACAATAATCCTGAAAATCCTTTTATCCTTCTTCCCTAAATTGCTGGACTGGATCCAGTTTACCTTGTTGCTGCTTGCAGCTATAATCACAGTTGCTTCTAAAATGGTTTTTAAATACATTTTATAGCTCTACACTGTTGTACAGAGAAGTATTGGGAAAAGTCAAAGTGAAATGTATCTATCCATGCATGTAACTAGGTTAATTTATGAGAGCCCTTGCTGTTCTTTAAAAAGCTTTATTAAAGTCTTTAGTCCTATTATGTCTGTCACATCTTCCCAGTTCTCACCTGTAGGACTGCTGAGACCTTTCCCCTGTTGTCTCCTTTTAGCGTCACTCAGGATGTCAATGATGAGTGTGGCAAACTCCCGAGCGTTGAAACGAGCCAGCTTCTGACGGCCCTGATGGGAGTTAGGGAGAGAAGAGAACCAGTCATGAGTTAAAACTTTATTGTTTTAAGACATGCGCACACTGTCATGACTGTCTGAAAGTCAGAAAAGGTTCTGAAAGTTTTGAGTTGCACAGTGTACAAAAACAATCCAGCCCACAATCAGTGGTTCACTGCCTGTGTGGCTACTGTGGTCAGCTACCATGTGCTGTGGAAAAACACAGTAATACTGAACACTCACAACACACACGGTCGTGTCTTTCTATAGCTGTGAGAACAGCCATTGGCATAATGAATTCCTCAGACCCCTTTAACCACCACAACTAAATACCTAACACCAACCATACCACTAACCAGGACTTGTACCTAATACTAACACTGAACCATAAAACCAAGTCTTAACCTTCAAAAAGCTCTTAGAAGTTGAGGACTAGCTATGGCAAGAGCTCACACATTTACAAACATGTGCAAGAGAATAAAAAGGTCAGTTTCCACCAAGGTTCTAAACCAGATTATCACACAAAGCAATGTGCTATTCAGAAGACTCCACTTTGGAAGACAAAATAAGGCAAAAGTTTCAACTCTTCTTTTTTTTCAGTGTACTGTCCAATCAGGGCAGAACAAGTATGGGGATGTGGGTGTTTTTCTCTCTGTGTGGATGCTCAAGTTAAAAGTCAATGTTGTGAGCCACAGAGTTGAGGAGAAACTATGTGCGAGGACATGATTTCTTTCCCTCTCTCACACTGAGAGTGAGAGAAAGACGGGTTAGACAAACAAGAGAGCGAGAAAAATCCAGCTAGATTACATTTTTCTTCCTTTCTCACAGCTGAAGAACATCCTTTGTCAATTTCACACTCATTCTTGGCTTCCCCCATATGCAAGATATCACCAGGCTTTTTTGTTTTTTTTCTTGCAAGTTCTTTCACCTTCTTTGTTTGTCTTTCCAAGTTTGTCTTTAGGTTAAAAATGTCTACAGTTTATAAGTATGCAAAGATACCAGCTAATGCAAATGTTTATGAGACCTGTGATTATTTGTTTGTGTAGGTATGAGTGTGTGCATGTTTACCTGGTTGCGTGTGGCAGAGTATTCAGGATTGACTGGTAAGAAGGGCACCGCGCTGCGTTCTGTTACCAGAGTGCTGTGGTTCTGGGTCGTAAGCCACACTAGAGACAAATACATGAAGCAAAAGAATAAAAAATACAGTAAACTTGTGTGTGTGTGTGTGTGTGTTTAAGTCACAAGGTCGTCTTCACCGGAACACGTGCAGCCAAACCCAGAACCCATCCGCCCACACATACAACAGACATAAACAAAGCACAGTAAATAGTACAGTAGATCCTAAAATTGAACTCCAGTCCCTAAAATGCACTGCTGTGCTCTGAGCTCTCCCACTGTGTGCAGCTAAACGTATGTGCATGTGTGTCCTTGCCACTTACCTGTGGTGTGTCTCTCAGAAAGCACAATTTCACTGTTACTGTGGGAAATAAGAAAAGGGGAAGAAAAGGAAAAAAGAGAAGGAGCCAGAGCGAGAAAGGGCCAAAGAGGAGGAGGAGAGAGACTGAAGAATTTCTGAGGCACTTACTCACTCTGTCTCTCCTCCTCCCTTGCTCACTCACTCCACTTGGCCTTCATCTTCAACAGTCATTTTCCTTTTCTCCTCACTCTGCCCTCTCAACATCTATATCGTGAGTTTCTCTTTTTCTCTCCCCCTTGTCTTCTCAAAATTAAGGTAAAGGGTGTCTGTGGAGGAATTTTCTGTTTCTTTCAAAATCTAGCTTCTACACACCAGCTGACATTTCTACCGTACAGATGACAAAAGCGGGAAATCAGGAGGGAGGGGATGAGCCTCACCTGCATCGTTTTCTCTGCGATCCACCTCATCATAGACGTCCATCGCTAGCTCCTCAAAGAGACGATTATTGAGCTGTCACACACAAAAAAATTGACTTCATATATTAACAGGTATGCTTGTACATGCCAAATGCAACAACATCAATGTGAAAAATACGTAAGAGAGACAACAGAAAAAAAACTATGTGAAATCAACCTGATATACAACCATCTGGGCTGAAGTCTTTAAATATTTTACTTGGCATGCTGTTGCCTGGCATTTTCAGTCAACAGTCACATCTTTCCAAAAGGTTCTATATGTCAATCTATAACAAAAGTCCTTCCAAAGTTGAGAACTGACAGGTCTCAGTTTTTGGATTACTCGCATTCTCTATGGCTCAGGAGATGGCCTTAGAACAAATCATTATTTTGGCTAGAGACAGAAAATCTGGCAGTTACACCAAACGACTTTTAGCAAACACCTTTTTACCTTACTTTCCAGGACTCAAGAAAACTGGCTCAGACTATTGTCTTGACAGTTATTACCACTATGATGTAAATGAGCAATAACTTTAATCTCAATTCACCCCAACTCACCGCTTGGAGCTTCTTCTTGGCTGCCTTGGCCAGTTCTGAGAGGTCCAGGCTAAAAGAAAAAAACAAACAAACTGTGAGACGGGCATCACAAACATACAGTGGAATAAAGCGATGGAGAGGGAGGGTGGGTAAAAGACATGGAGATGGAGAGAGAACCAAGAGGTGAGGAGTGAGAAAGGTGTTTTGCTAAAAAGGGAAAACTGGGGGAGAGAGGATGTCAGACTGAAAAGGCTCGATATAATGGGGAGTACTTTTTGAATCCACGTTAACCTGCAGGAGTCCCAGAGACTGGGTGTATCTGTGCTTCTGCAGGCTATTAGCTAGATAGCTAAAAACAGCTAAATATCACTAATCTTTAATTCTGTATGTAGCTCGAGTACAGCAGATGATAATATAGTCTGATTAAATAGATATAAAGCAACTACATGTAAAAAGCTTTACTCACTGATGTGAAGTAAAAAAAAAAAACCTTGGCTTTTGTGCCCAAAGATTACAAGGACTCAAGGATGATGTAAAAGAATATTTAGAATGTCTGTTTAAGAGTGTGGTGTTATTGTCTTTGTGTTACTATGTGCACTAAGGACATATGCTAATGTATAATTTGAATATGAGGAAATGTAAGATTCTCCTGGGGACAATAGCACCTTAATTACTGCAGAAGGTCGTCTGAAACTCTATCCCAAGAGCCTCAATTCGCCTAGATATTTTCTCTCAAAACTAACTGTACCGCCCTCTTGGCTAATGATAACAGTTCAAGGCCAGATAACCTTCCCACTGTAAACCCACTGAAAAAGAGGGAAATCTACAAGAGATGAGATAGCAGAGCAAGGGGATATGATATGATATGAAGGAAGAAATTCTGGGGGAAAAAGAACAAGGAAGGTAAAGATACCTCTGTGTCGGGCACTTAGGACGAGCTCTGGCTCCACCAAGCGCAGCGAAATGGAGAGAACAGAAAATGAGTGAGAAAAAAGAAGAAACAGAAAGAGTGGTAGAGAAGAAGCCACATCAAAAAAGCTTTAATTGGTATTCTCACCAGAACAATACAAGTGAAAGCAGAGTTAGAGGGCAGCTCAGAAGTAAGCCTCATTGAAGTAACAAATACATTTTAAAAAGAGTTTGGTTTTGCTGCTTTACATGTACACGAGTATATTTTTTACTACTACTTTGACTCAGCTGAGAAAACTGAGTTCCTTTCTATTATTTGAAGGAAGCTGAGCCAAGTACTGCCAAATGTGTATCATTGCCTGACTATGCACCTCTGGAGCTCCTAAATCAAACTTGCCATTTAGGATTAATAAACCAAGCAAACTTTGAGCATCTAAATCATTTGAGTTGCCTTTGATAAACAGCCAGCTATGATAAAGAAGCCAAAAAAAATCTCCTTTATCAAACTCCTTTGTTGGGTGGGGTTACATATACTATGGTGCCACCCTCTGGTCAGAACACTAAACTGCATCAGTATCAATCAATCCATGCTAAGGGGAGACAAGTGGGAAGAAGCAGTCATAGAAGTATAGCAAGTCAAGTAGGTGCAAGTATACTAACAAAGATATTTTCATGCAGTCAAACCACACCATGTTTGCACAACAGGGTGCTTAACATATAAGAGTCACCTCATGTTCCATACCTGTCTGCCATTTGAGGAATGATATAATGGCCATTCTTGTGATCTGAGGAGAGAGGAGACTTAATAATTGGATAAAAGCTACCACAGTATGTCACTGAGATTAACTTTTACATTTAAAGGTATGTGAGGTGCATACAAACTGATACAGTCAGGTACCTGGACGCCGTCCACACAAGTAAAAGGCTAGCCTGTCTGTCAGTTCATACTGACACTCTACCAGTCGCTCTGCTAGCTCTACATGGCCCGCCTGCCTGAAACACAGAAACAGACACAAATTATTCTACTTTCATGTTGTGGTTTTTTTTTTTTTAACCTTTTTTCCCCTCACCATTCTCTTGTGGCAAACTGTGCTATTAGTGTAGTGTGCTTCCACTGTCTTTTACCTAGCATAGTCCATTGGTGTGCGCCCATTGATGTCAGGTGCTCCAGGGTCTGCACCATACACTACTAGCAGCTCAGCCTGCAAGATCTGGCCTGCCTTGGCTGCTACATGGAGTGGGGTTGTGCCCTTTTCCTGAAAGTTCAGGTACACACACACACACACACACACACACACACACACGTCAGGACAAGAGAATAACTGAACAACATGATGGAGTGAGTTCAACAAGTAGATTTTTCCTGACCGGGTGGAAGAAGTTGGCCTGAGCGCCGAGGGACAGGAGTCGAAGGCACGTTTCTAAACTCCCTGTCCGCACACTGGAGTGAAGTTGCTAATAGAGAAGCAGTGAGGGTGAGCAGAGAGGAGAAAGAGAAACAGAAACATTAAATTAACAGAAGATTAAATTTCACAGAGAGACACAAACAGGCTGAATCGCCTTATTACCCCACTGAAGCTCTGCAGCAAGGGCACACATATACTTCATTTTCACCATGCATACACATAGCTACGTGACAGCGTTCTGAAGGGATTTGTGCTCACACTTTCCTGCATACTTTATGTCTGCCTGGAGCATCATAAAATACAATCACTAGTGGGTTGCCCTGTCTGGCAAATGGAATTCTCTTGAGAGCAACTGCTTTTGAGCTGCAAAAACAAACATGAGGTAGAGGAGGCAGTTAGCTATATGGTTAACTGATTTGCTTTTCTTCAGACCTTTCCTCCATTTCTGTCTGCTTTTCTCTCTGGTGCTGACTGTCTTCTGTGTGGGCAGCCAGCATCCCTGGATGACTGATTTTTAACATACTCCTCCTATCGGTAATGCACTGATCAGCACGCTGCGTATGTGGTGTGTTAATTTCTGATGATGCACACAACTGATGCTCCAAATTATTACTGGTGACACATCACAACCATAATGACTACACATTCACATACTTAACAGCAGAGTATACTTGTACCCTGTATCATTATTACATCCTGCTGTGTCATTCAAATCCCTTACCTATCTGGGAGTGTGCATTTTTGTGTGAGTAAGTCCGTGAGCATGCATAAGATCTCCTACTGACATCTACGAGTGAAGCATCCATTGTGCTAACACTGGCTATGTCCTTTTTGCTAACTAACCTGAACTCATAAGGTCAAAACAGTGAGCCCTCACCTTACTGAGGTCCTTAGTAGTGACACCATCATCATCACGGCAGGGCAGCTTGTGCACAAAGGCCAGCATCTGGTATTTGGCTCTAATAAACTCTGACTTAGTGGGACTACACAGAAAGAGAATGTAAGAGGTAAACAAAGCAACAATTACAGCTGTATTATAGGTGTCCTTTCAGAAACTAAAGACGCCTTCATCTCATTTTCCATTCAATTATACAAGTATGGTTACCATTTTCCATGGTCCATAGTAAAACACCATGAGGGAAAATTATATGGAATTATATCAAAATGCATGAATTGTGAACTGTTTTCAAATTATGAATTTGTAATTTGATTGAAAGGCAATTCATTCCTTTCGATTCCATTTTCTGACATCTCCTTGACTAGTTGTGGTAGGTGAAAATCACAAAAAGGCCACCCACCCTCTTGAACATAAAAACTCTTGAGTACAAATTTAAATGCTGTCAAGACCAACCAAAATTGATAGGTTACTGCTGAATTACTGCATGATTTACAAAGACAAAACTGGGGCATACAGTATAGTACATTTTAAGATGTTTTGTAACTTCAGCAAAATGAACAATTTTTTTCTTGATGTTAGAACAGAACACTGGGAGCACTCTGCTTTGCAGGGACCAGAAGTTACTTGTGGGACTGGAGGCTGGGCCCCACAACTAATTTGTCAAACTTTATAAAAATGGTGGGGTGTAAAGTTAGAGCAAGTGTTGGCTTTGGTCAAGTGTTAGGTTAAGGGTTAAGCTTAGGCAAGCAGCAGTTCTGGTTAAGGTTACAGCAAGTCTGCTGGAAATAAATGTAAGTCTGTGTGCGGATCCTGTAAGTGATGACCGCAAGGATGTGTGTGTGTGTGGCTGGATGTCATGGAGTATTTTGAGGCTGTAGGGAGTATACTTACTGGACTTTGTCCTGGGGGTTGGGTTTCCTACGACCACTCTGCACCTGAGCAGGGTCCAGGAGGCTGTGCTCCCATATGGAGTTAGCCCCATTACTGGCTAAGGTCTGAACCATCTTAAAAACATACATACGTACAATATAAACAAAAACCCCACTCCCACATTTGTAATTACAAGATAATGCTGAAGCAACACAGTGCTACTCAACCTGCATTTTGGACAGACTGACAACAGCAGATATACAGTAAATACCTACTAGATTTGTACCAATGGAGGGTAGTAATAGAATGTAATATTTACAAGAAGAAAAGCACTGAACCAGATAAAACTGGACTTACACCTTCAGTGCTGAGTCAGATTATGTACCATTCCCCAGTTGTGTAGTGGTATTCTGGGGCCCTGTTCCTATTTCTTTTTTCCTCTCACTCTTCATTTCGCAAGCTTACCTGCAGTAGGGCAGGAGGCCATCCGCTGTGCCTCAGGTGCTTGACTATAGAGATATGGCGCCCTAAGCTGCGATGGACTGAACAGCACTCATCACAGATGAGGACCCCTCGGTTGATACTGGTCCAACCCGGGTCTAACAGACAAACAGACAGATATCATCGTATGTAAATGTGCTGAATTTTACTTGCTTCACCACAACATTCATTTTAAGTCCAGGCTGCAGGAACAATCCTCTTCTCCATTCTACAATACACCCCTTAAAAAAATAGCACTGTAATGTGGTGGGTCTAAATTACAGTTTACTAAAACAGGACTCAATGGTGCCATTTTCCCTAGAAAGACATCTGCTCTATCTACAGTTTTGCTCTGCACCAACTCCAGTCAAGGTCAAGTCAAACATGCTCTCTTCAGACATTTTCTCATTTGTTAATCTGCAATAGGTTTGTCATGAAACATTCAGATGTGTACACAGAGTGACAGACGAAAAGATGAGGAACAGCATAAAGTGTAAAGTACAATGTCCTCTGTCACCAAGCCTCCAATTAGAATTATAACTCTATTAAAATTCACATGGGACTGTGCAATTGTACAGTACAATGCACACTGACAGCAAAGGCAGGCCTGCACTTTATGTGATATGCATCTTTTTAATGAGCCAAATGGCAGTATTAACACGTCAGTGTTGTAATTAACAGAAGTGCTGAACAAAATATGGAGTTACTATAAGGAATACCAAAAAAAAAAAAACAATATGTGGGGGCAACTGTGGTTCAGTGGGGAAAGCAGTCGTCTCCCAACCGGAGGGTCGGAGCTTTGAATCTCGGTGCCTGCAGACCACATGTCAAAGTGTCCTTAGCCAAGATAGGGAACCCCCAAGTTGCCCCTGATGGTTAGAGCCATCAGTGTGAGTTGGCACCGCAGATGGCTGCTATCGGTTCTGTACTGGAAACAAATTCCTTGTGTGTAACATACTTGGCCAAATAAAGGTGATTATGAATTAGCAGTCAGGCTTTGGGGGGTGTTTTGACTATGACTAGGTGCAGCTCTGTGGGAGTACAAAACACCCAGTTAAATCTGGATCATACACACACTGTATATTCCATATTATGCTGGGTTGTGCTAATATTCCACCTTAGCCCAGCACACTCCATATAATCAACTATTGCATAAACAGAGCCCAGCTTGAATAAAAGTGCACAGTTGAACCAAATCAGAATTATTTTAAGGAAGAAGGAAGAAACTTTAGGAAGAGCAGCAGAGGAGAATGGATAGACATGCAATAGATGTCATGTGTACAGAACAGGTCAACATAACAGATTTACAGCGTGGACAATCAGAACGACGAAACGGTGTACTGTAAACATATGAAGACAGCACAAATCCATTAAGATTTTTTATCATATGTTACCTATTTTACTAAATATTGCAGCAATATTTCATGTAAAAGTTTGAGACTTTGAAAATTCCAGACATTATAATTTCCACATTCCTAAAATGTGCGCGCTCCTACAGCCACACACACACACATATACATACACATAAAGTAAACTGAACTTTCAGCCATACACGGCTTATTATAAAACTAGTGATGCTTCACTGACGGTGTATACATACAGTATATACACAATGCCAATGTGAGTCTACTGACACAAGCAGTCTCGTCACAGTCTGAGTCATGTTTTTACCCTCAAGACCCTGATGTGATGATAAGCTCACAAATAACAGTTACACACTAACAAGCACATGTTGCATGCACAATACACATGTCCTCTGTGTTAGTCACTCAGGCTGAGGTAAAACCGTCTGGGCTTATGGTATTAATGAGGCTAGAATAGGCCATCATCAGATGAACTGATGTGTTTTTTAAGTCTTCTGCCTGCAGAAAAAGTTGCCACAATTGCAAAATGTCTTTGATAACAGTGATAGCCTAAATTAGAACAACAGCCTGTGGGCTTTAAAGGCTGAAATGCAGCAATTTAATTCCTTAATCTGTGTAATAAATATAAAAACTCCCACAGGCTATTTTATCTGCTTGGCCCAAAGGATCAATATGAGGCTACACCATTAAGTTATTAGACCTGGACAGACTATTGGCAGCAAGGTAGTGGCCAAATCTGAGCATTACATAATTTCAAATAAAGTTGGTATAATTCATAAATACAGAATTGACATTTGTTTTTATAACTGTCACTTAAGCCTGCATAGTCATATATCAAAATGAGTATTTCTGCTGAAAGTCATTTAAAGTCATGAAAACTCTTGCTGAAATATAAACTATGTCAACAATGAAACTTGTAATAGGTTGCCTTATATTTCAAACTAGAGTTGCCTCACAGTTCTGAACAACATTTTAATTTCAAGGAGCAACATGTAAGCAGTGTTTGGAGCTTTAATACGTTTCAAATATGCCACCTTAGTGTGAGAGGTTAAGCTTTACTCCTATGTCCAGGGGTTAGCATATCGTAGCCTTCATACAATGTGAAGCATTTTGGACCTGTTATCTGATTACTATGTTCCCTCATGGAATAAATGAAGATTCTGACATAAAATCATTTTTATGAATGTATTGATAGTGCTTATTTTTATGCATTGTATGAATTTTATGCCTGCGGTCTCCCCGCATGCCTAAGGAAGACACTGAACCCCGAATTGCTCCCGGTGGCTTGACTAGCACCGTTGTATGGCAGCTTGTCATCATCGGTGTGTGAATGTTGTGTGTGAATGGGTGAATGGTGTATCATCTCCTGTAAAGCGCTTTGGCCAGTGCAACACACTGTGGAAAAATGCGCTATATAAATACAGCCCATTTACCATTTACCATGTAGGTCCTGCTGGAGGCTCATGTCAGTTCACAGCTGATTTTAATTCACACATTATTCGTTTGCTTTTGAAAACACCAGTCACAACATCAACAGCAGGACTTGACAATACAACACTTTTGCCACGTCAAACTGCTCTAAATGTTTGCAAATGAATTTCCGTTTCTTATACAACTGAATCTGTTCACCATCATGACAACATGACTCACTGTTACTATAAACTGTACAGTATCAGTCATTTTTTTTGCAGACATGCCATTGAATTGTGCCCACATGTGACACAAATCTGTGTAGTAGGGAGGTGGCCTGTCACCAGTGGCTAGGTCAGCTTTCTGCACAACACAATGTTGTCAGGAAGGGTTTACATGCAGAGAGAAGATGGTAAGCAGAATATAGCCAGTAACACATACACTGACTGCCATTAATGAAAAGAAACCCATGTAAATAAACTATTGCAAACAAACATGCGTTTCCATTTTTCCTAACAGGATTAATCTGTCAGAGTCAGAAGACTGAAGTTGCTATGGCATTCAAGAAGAGATGTTTAGCTTCAACTGGTTAATGCTGGTCACATTATAAATTGGGAAAAGCAATCAGGGCAACAGGACAGATGAACATTTGTGAAAGCAGGAAGTTAGTTACGTGTATAGTGGTGTGAGGGTTTAGGTTCAGGTGATAAATCAGGAGCAAGGTGTAGCCAGCAAGATTTTGAACACCGAGCTGATGGACCCTCTGCTATCAGTGGGAGCAGCTGTTGTAATACACATGAATGAATGCAGGCAACACACACACACACACACACACACACACGGTGGAGCGGTTATAATCATGTGCTTCAAACCAAACAGGAGGGCATGTGAGGCTCAATATGCAAGGATGGTAAAAATGTTACTAAGGTTGTTTTGATATCACCTCCAGCTACTTCACTTTACGACAAAACGAGTTTTAAATGGTCACAGCAATATGAATAGAATACTCCCATCTAACGAGTGAATTATGAATTCTTTCCGACTTGAAGCCGAACCAGGTTAAATGTGGCTTTCAAATTAATTTGCCCAGTTAATTCCGTCAGCCCTAGTGACTAACGTTATGTTATTACTAAACTGAGGAGAACAGTAGAAATACTGTTAAAATATACAATCCTCAATATGTTTCAACAGTCTATATGAATCACCAAAGATTAATGTCAGGTACCGTTAAACGACTGGCTGGTAGCTGGGGCTGAATCAGCTTAGCAATAACTTGGGTGTTTGGCAAAAGTTAGCTAACCCCGTTGCTGTTAGCTAAGGTAGCCTATTAATGTCAGCCCTGGTTACGGCATACAGCTTAAAAACGCCACAGGCAAACGCTAACAACAACAACACTAGGATTTTGTAATATAAAAATGATATTATATGTTAGTTCTTTAAGTGCAAGCTCAATGTTAATAACAGCGAGTAACACAGTGCGTCCAAATCAGCAGCTCGTTAGCCAGGCTAAGCTAACATGTTAGCTAAGAAGTCTGTCCCGGTCACGAAAATCAAAACAAACGCCTGTCCGATTAGGAAGGCGATATAAGTCTGACACCCAGCTCTTCTATTACAGCAAACAAAGTAGTCGTCCTCACATATGGCCTCTGTCAAATAAATATAACTTACATATCAAGCAGCTCAATGGGGCACATTAACGTTGAGCTGCAATTAGCTAAGGATATTCTCCGTTGCGATAACGCCTATTTTTCACTGTTTATTTTGGGCCTAAGCGACGCTTGGAAGCCCTGGCCGTTTTCCTGCTCTGCGGACCCGCTGACAGCGACCGCAGCCTGGGCCCTGTTGTCCCACCATGTCGCCCTTCGGACGTATTGTTCCAGTACAGTGGTCTATTTTGATGTATTACCTGGCGCACTGCAGTCGGCGCAGATTTCTGTCCGCTGTAGCTTTCTTGACATCTCGAAAGTGGCTGAAATCGAGAGGTGGATGTCGGCGATGATGTGGTTGCTCGCCCCTTTCCCCCGAGCTACCGACCGACGTCTGCCGTCAACCGATGCGGCCCCTGAATCCCCGGAAGCCGGGTGGTGTGATCGGCTTTCCCGGCCAGCTGACAGTTAAATTTCCCGTTTGTTCCTGCGGTCTCTTCGCCCACGCTCACTGCCGGCCCATAGGTCTAGAGCCTAGTTACGTGAACATAATTGTTCTGGATGTTGGTATGAACCTTCATTTCGGAATATTTAGGCTACTAAATCTGTTCGCTGCATTGCCCGCAACTCACCGAAAGACGGCAGCTCTTTACCTGTCAGCGCGCACACACACCCAACATCCCCGCAGCCTACCTATGGAGGGGCGAGGAGGTGGTACAAATAATCCTGTCACTATAAAGGTGAGATGGATTTCACAGAAAGATCAAAATGGATAGGTATAAAAAGTCAGCACACCAATATGTTTAAAATCTAAACAGGCAAACTAGGAACTGGTGAAATTATCATGGTCGTTTTTCAAAATAATTATAGACATACTAAGCATTCATTCTATTTATTTATTTATTTACCAATCTCATATAGGTTTGGTAGCTAAATAAAAGAAATGTATAGAACATTTTGTTTATTTGTTTAGTTAATGTTTCATTTTAAAATAAATAAACAATACATATACACTTGCTCAATATAGCCTAGACAAAATAAAGAAAGTACAGCATCCAAAAGAATACAAGTTCATGGGACAAGGCCATGCAAAGACTGCATACAAATTTAAAAGACTGTGAATGGGAATATAACCTATAACATAAACAAGACTTTAGGCGTGGAACTGAAGCAAGACAGAATAAAATATGCTTTTACTTAACCTTAACATTGGATGGTTTTTCATCCTGAAATTGATATAGTCTTTGACTGTCAATACGGCGCTGCCTACTTTTTATTCTGTATACAGTATGGTCTATATCAGTAGGCTACTGTATATACATTCCTGTAGTTGCTAGAGTTTGTGTAATGTCCTGCT